CCGTAAAATTTTCTCGGGTAAAATCAGTATCTCGGAAACCACAGAAGGTAGAACGCTGAAATTTTGTGAGCATGCCCCTCGCCCATGTGCTGCCCAGAAAATTTAAATTCAGCTTTCCCCTGCCCGCGGGTAACAAGTACGGCCCTGTGAAATTTCTTGATGGGTAAATTGTTTTCTCGGGAACCACAGAGTATCGGAAGCTGAAATTTTAGGGTAGTGACCTCTTGCCCACAACCAACCTTGTCTATTCAAATTCAGCGTTCCTGCGTTCTCGGGAATCAGCTACGGCCTCGTGAAAATTTTGTCGGGTGAACTATTAACTTGGGAATCACGAAAAGATGCTCACACTTCAAGGTTTCGAATCCAAGTTTCATGCGCAGGTGCGTGAAATTTTTAACTATGTTTCAGTATTTCAACTATTTTTGCATAGACTAAAGTACAAAGCAGCGAAAGTCATTAATAGGCAATCGTTCGATGGGCTGAATTGCACAAAACGCATGTTCGCACCGGTTAGTCTGGTGCGCGCTGCTATTTACTTTTTCATTATCACAGATCACTGACTTTTAGGTTTGCAAGTTTACGCGGCTACCCAAATGTGCTACCCAAAGGGTTGCTCGAGCAAGCTGCCTCAGCGATGGTGGGAATCTGGATTCTTTTTATTGTGCGGAAAAAGAGGACTTCATAAACACTAAATCGTTTTCTCAATGAAAGGTTTTTGCATCCGGCTTTTTATGCGTTTTTGCATATATGTAAATGCGAAAACGCAGATTGCGATGACGCCGGTGCGTGTGTGTTTGTGTGTGTGTGTGTGTGTGTGGCGGGAAAATCGCTAACTCGGGAACTAGAAAAGCTAGAAAGCTAAAATTTTGAGGTTATGTTCTCTGTCCATTGTGAATTCAAAGATTTCATATTTAGTCTCGAGGTATGCGAGGTCCCCACGTACGGCTCCGTGAGACTTCATGACGGGAAAATCGCTAACTTGGGATCTAGGACAGCTGAGAGGCTGAAATTTTAAGGGGATGTTTCCGGCTCATCTGCAACTTAAATTTATCGAATTCAGCCCCCGGGCATACGTGGTTCTCACGTGCAGCCC